TTGGCGGGTCCGGGCTGGGGATTCGAACCTGCCACCTTAGGTGTACGTGGCTGGCACCTTAGCCGGTTGAGCTATAGGCGCCGAGCCAAAATGGATGTTTTATTTAAAACACAGATGAAAAGTTCAGAGAGGTAACCCAAATCATATGACTAACAAGTAACAACTTTGGACCAGAAGCCAGGTATTCTGATTTTTAATTTCATCATTCTTTCTAATGTATCAGGTCGCTTAAACATAAAAGTATTTCCAGAGTCATTTTTAGAATCATTTTTCTGAGATGTCAACCTCCAAAGTTACTGATACAGAGATCCTGAAAGAATCACAGGTGGAATAGAAACTCTATAATCAATGACCTTGATAAAGCATCACTAATCTTGTTAACATCACCATTCTTCCTGTGAACCTCCTTTAGAAATAAGTAGACTTTTAAATGCTATTAAAAAAACAGATTCTCGCTGACTACTGATACCACCTTACGAAAAATATTTTTTGACTCTTATTACCAAAAAAAAAACCCAACCAACCAACAAAAACAAAACAACAACACCAAGAACTAGGTCTACAAGGATGAAAGTATCACACTTTGACTCGGGAAGACATTATGGAGAAAGTGAATCTATCTTAAACTTTCTGTTAATCTCAAGGTCTGTTTTCTGATTAAAATTTTTTGTATCAAAAAGAAATTAATTTTTCTGCCTACTCATTTCCTGGGATCTACACTAAAGTTACACCATGGAAAGAATGTTTGAAATGATTCAAACATTGAAGACACCAATGTCTGGGTAAAAACCAACAACAAAAAGATAAAGCATCGACATGGCACCATCTTTAGAGGTGACTTCTAAGAGTAGGGTTAATTAGAGTTAACATGAAATCTACACTTCTTCAAAGGGGTATTGTGAAAATAAAATAGTTGAATTTTAGTACATGCTTATTAGTGTTAATCCGAATTGTAGTTAGAAAAGTTTTAACCTTTTTTTAAAATGAAGCATAACATAAAATGTACAGAAAAGATCTTTAATAAGGCCAGCATTTTGCCAATAAAGTTAGAATTCAGGCATTTAGGTATCCATAAAACTTTTTTTTTAACTTCATAATTCTATTACTCTATTATTGTTCACACAATCCACCTCCAAATTCTACAGCTTACTCTAAGAATTTAACTCCTTACACTTAGAAAATAATTTCCCATAAAAACTGAGATCATAGGCACACATTTACTTTAAAAAAAAAATAGATTTTACTAACTGTGTCAGGGTATTTATGTCTAGAGCAGTAAGAATTAAAATTTTTTCTTTGTAAAAAATGTTTGCTTAAACAATGTTAATTTTAAGATGTCTTTTCACTGTATTCTTTTATCTGAAAAAAATCTATTCCATCTCTTCCAGTTTATCTTGAAAAGTCAAGAAAAAGAATGAAATATGTAACCTAGTATCTTTTTCACTTTGCAAAAGTGTATTTAAAGGAAAGTTGAGAGGCTTTCCATACTAGAAAGACAGAAACACAATAACAAGAAAAAAACAACTTATCAAATGTCAGGCACTATTCTAAGTGTTTTATGTATCATTTTATTTAATTTTACAATAACCTTATGTAATAAGTACTACTATTATTACCATTTTAAATATAAAGTAATTGAGGCAAAGAGAGTTTAAGCAACTTGCCTGACATCACATAAATAGTATTCTGTAGTGGTTTGAGGATAAGTACTCCTTTTTTAGTTAATATTTCTTTATTTTGCCATATTTTTATTCTAGTAAAATATAAAAATATAATCATTAAATAGCTTGATGGCTAAATAAAAGACTAGAATAGTTAATTCTTAGAAACTCAGATATGTTTAACACTTTAGTAACACTTTTGAAATATAACATTTATTTAACATGTACTAACTGCCACACGAAGAGTATTTCTACCTATTTGTTCACTTAATTCCTGGAATCACTCTGAGATGCACATTATCCTCATTTTTACAGAACAAGATATTAAGGCTCAAGGAACACAATTTGAACACACTTACAAAGTTATCAGATCTAATTCAAATCCAATATCTTATTCTCTGTGCCATAACAAGTGTTTAAACAAGTCACAGGATGGATAATAATATTGTGTGTGTGGTTCATGAAAATACATCCAGCTTTCTTGTATACTCAGACCCTGTCCTTAAATATACCAGTTAAGAAAAATTTAATCACAACGATTTGCTAGTCATCTGTTTTAGAACCATACTTCAAAACACATTTAGTTCTGAGAGATGCTCACTGTTGCAAAGGTGCTCACAACCTTTTTAACTTATGTATTAACTATCATCATTCCAAAATAACCAGTGCTATATAAGGATCTGCTGTTTTAAATAGAATCAAGTATCAAGTACTACAGTAAATTGATAGGAAAAAACAGTGTCTGTTTTAGATTCTACTATCATCAATTTAACCACAAACTCAACCAAGTTTTGATTAGCCCAAATAAAATTACACTGCAATCAGATTTTAATTCCTAGCACTGAATTCAGAATCCAATCCTGGATGCCTTGCCCAAATGATCTAGCTATTAAAAGTCCTAAGAAAATTTCCTTTTTTTTTTTTTTTGGAGACAGAGTCTCATTCTGTTTCCCAGGCAAGAGTGCTATGGCATGAGCCTAGCTCAGTGACCTCAAACTCTTGGGTTCAAGCAATCCTTCTGCATTAGCCTCCTGAGTAGCTGGGACTACAAGCATCCACCATAACACCTGGCTAATTTTTCTATTTATTTATTTAATTTCTTTTGTAGCAAGGGGTCTTAAACTCCTGAGCTCAAGTGATCCTTCTGCCTCAGCCTCTGACAGTGCTAGGTTTACAAGTGTAAGTCATCACACACAACTTCTATTACTAGTGTTTCCGTTTTTGCACCATTTTGATTCATTATTGTGAAGTTTAAAATTTTAACAATTAAGCAGAACTTTAAAACTCTAGCCATAAGATATTTAGAGTCAATGTCATTTTATCTTCTAGGATCATTTCTATAAAGGGCAAAATACAAAAAGAAAAACTGTATTTAAATATTTGAACTTTCAAACTTAACTTCTAGTTAATTTTCACAATCCCTTAATTTATGGAATAATCTGCTCCTAATCCTTTAGTACAACTTTTATTGGAATTATACTGGGTGTATACCTAGCTACTTTGCCATGAATTCTATCAAATAAACAAGACAGTATTGATTAGGTATCAAAAATTAAATAGCATACTTAAAAAAAATTAAATAGCATCATCAAAAGTTTAAACTGTAGCATAAGATATAGTAAATATATAAGTAAATGGCAATAAAACACTGAATTTCAACAAAGAACTATGTTTTATAATTTTACATTATATACATCAATTATGGCACAATTAAAATACAAATAAAAGAGTGCTATGGCTAACAAAATTAAAATCTATAATTGTGAAAATTTCTGCTACAATTTATCAGTTTAATATCTGAGTGATGAAAAGTTTACAACAAGGTGAAGACTTCACATTTTCAAACTCTATAAGAATCTAAAAAGCTCTAACAATATGTACTTTACAGTTCTTTTCCTCTAAAAGTATTAAATAATATAGTTAAAACATACCTAGCACTCTCTCCTTGGTTCACAGTAAATATTTTCTAAAATGGGAAATTGTTACATTTTTACATACCTTGACATAGATCACAGGGAGTGTCTGTTTGGCTCGACTATAGTGTCTGGCAACTCTGTATACTGTTTCCGGAACATAGTCCAGCACCAGATTAAGATAGACTTCGTCTTTCTGAAAGAGTTTATTAAAAAAACAAACAAAAACAGATTAGAAATGAATCTTTAAATATTCAAATTAAATTCTCTATACATTCTCTTGTTCATATTTTTAAAGATTCATATGTTCAATTTTAATTATACAAAAATACTTCAGAATACAGCCATAATAGTAAAAATAAGTCTACTATACCTTCTTACTGATAATTCCATGAAGGGAGGGTGATAGCCATTTCATACTATTAAATTTCCCAGGCTCAGCGCCTACAGCTTAATTGGGTAAGGCGCCAGCCATGTACACCTAAGGTGGCAGGTTCGAATCCCCAGCCCAGACCCGCCAAAACAACAGTGACGGCTGCAACCAAAAAATAGCCGGGCGTTGTGGCGAGCGCCTGTGGCCCCAGCTACTTGGGAGGCGGAGGCAGGAGACTCGCTTGAGCCCAGGAGTTGGAGGTTGCTGTGAGCTGTAAAGCCACGGCACTCTACCCAAGGGGACAGCTTGAGGCTCTGTCTCAAAAAAAAAAAAAAAAAAAAATTTCCCAATAATGAACTACTATTTTGGTTACCATGATTTTAGAGAATATTACCTATCAAAATTTCATTTTTCTAGACTGATAATCAATGCCCTCATATGCTATCAGGGAAAGTGGCATGATAGGAAGGAGAGTATTGAATTGGAAATTAAGAAACATGGATTTCTAGCCCTAGCTCTGCTACTAATTGCTGTGTATAAAAGTCACTTTATCTTTCTGAGCTTCAGTTTCTTTCAACTATAACATGAAAGGCTGGACCAGATATTCTTCAAAATGTCTCGAATCTCTGCAAAAAAATCCTACGGTTACCTGATAATCTGTAATTGGTAGAACAACCACTTGTCTTCTATAATTAACTGAAGCAAAAGAATAACATATAAGGCAGTGAATTACCATACTAACAAGCTTATTACAGGTCATACGTTTAAGTATCCATTCGCAGGAGCATAATGACATCAATCCATGACCAGTGGAGAAAAACAAGAATTCCAACTAAACACCAAGTAGAAAAGAGAAATAGAACACTACCCTTACCCTGTTCTCAATATGAAATCATCTTACCTACCAAAGTAGGACAGTGAAGAATTTCATTCAACTTTCACCATTTATTATTTTCCGTATGCCAGTAGCCACTACAGAGGAAGTTAGGAATGTAGATTTAAAAGAGATCTGACATCTGAAGTGAGTATGAAAGAAGCACTTCAGGCAAGGAGAAAACTACACTCAATATGTAAAAGGTCAAAGAGTACAGCAGAGCTCAGGAAACAGTTTAGTAAAGCATTATGCTACCCCTCATCCTTTTGCGTTCTCCTCTTTCCCCTCCATAGTCCACTTAAATTTCACGGTTTATCATTATCCTCACTAATGGCCTGCTGCCTAATTTCATAAAGTTTTAATGGAACATAGCTATGGCTATTCAATTAAGCATTGTCAACTGCTGCTTTTGGGCTACAATGGCTGAGGTGATAGTTTGACAGAGACTCAATAGCCTGCAAAGCCAAAAATATTTAAGTAAAAGCTTTTGGTTTTTCCACAACTCGGGTTAAGTCCAACTTTCTGCCCCTTCTACCATATGCCTGTATCCAAAGAGCTGAACATGGCTGCAGAGAAACCTATAATTGTTTTGACTGGTCTCACATTAAAGTCATCAAGAAATTCAATTGGCCCAGCAATAATTATGCATCTGCCTGGTCTATTCACCTTTCCAGACTACTTTGTTCTCCTCTCTTCCTTTTCAACTTACAACATCCCCTTTTCTCTGCCCTCAACCTCACCTGATGACTATGCTTACATTTCTACATCCACCCATCTGTACTATCACAATTTAACCTTTTGCTTCTCTAACTATAATAGGTAAGCCGACCAAATTCCATTCAAAGGTAAATACTGTTACATATAAGAAAAAAAAAAAAAGGTTCTAGTCTACATTTCCTACTCAATGTCATTGCTCCAGAAATTTTCCTATCTTTCTGGATTAATTATTCCCTCTCTGTGGAAACATTACAATCAGTTTAAAAACTTGGTGTTATTTCTCCCATATTAAAACAAACAAACAAAAAAACCTATCCCTAACCATACTAATTACCACCATATTTTTTTGCCCTCTTTCTAAAGCTTTCTCCAATTCTGTTCACCTCTCATTCTTCCAAAAACTTACTCCAAAAAAATTTCATTACTACTAAACCAGAATTGTTCAAGCTCAATAATCTCCTTGTTGCTAAATCCAATGTCCATTTTGACCATTTCACCCTTCTCATTTACTTGACTCAGCATTACCATTTATTTAACACAAACTACCATACTCCCTTCTTTGAGACACTTTCTCCACTTCAGAGGATACTATCCTTTTGGTTTTTCATCCTACCTCACAGACCCTAACCCTCTTCTTGTTTTCCTTTTCTACTTGACCTCTTAAGGATCAGAGGACCCCAGGCCTTAAACCTCAGACCTTTTGTCTTTTAAATTCATTCCCTTGATAGTCTCATCTATCTAATGGCTCAATACTACTATACAATAATGATTTCCAAAAACAAGGTCAGACAATTAAGTTCACAAACTCATCCTATACACTTCATTGCCTAATATCACTATGGTCACCTTTGAAGTACTCCCCTTGGGAAGCTATGCACCAGTACCTAGCACACCCTTCAAAGCATCTTTTCTAGGATGATTTCGTGACCTTAATTGTCAGAACTTGTATATGTAATGTATATGTACATTACAACATATACATATATGGCTGAATCTCTGCCCTTAACTCCAAACTAATATACCTGTGTTCTTGACCTTGCTCAGGCTAAAAACCTTAACAATCATCTTTAATCTACTCCTAGTCCTTTAGGCCCTTCACTCCTTTTCCTTCTTTCTCTGTTTCTGCCTCTGCTCCTCCTTTTTCATATCCCTGTCAAAAAAAACTAATGGTCCGCCTTTAAAATTTATTCAGGATTCCCCCACTTTTGCTACTTTCATTATAATCCTGATCTGAGCCACTATGACCTCTCACCTAGATTACTGTGATAGCCTCCTACTCTACCCAAATGGTTTATCTTATCCCTTTATAGTCTAGTACCAACTAATATTGAATATAAGTTATACTATATCTCTTTTACTCTACCTCACTGGTCTACAATGTACTAAAAACCCACCTCATTATTCCTCAGTCCTCTGCTCCTCTAATCCAGTCCACTACTCTCCTCACTGCTCACTCATCTTTAGCCATGTTAGCTCCCTGATGTTTCTTGAATACACTTGGCAGGCTTTTCCAATCAAGACCTCTATACCAGTCAGACCTTCAACTTAGAATGTTCTCCCATCAAATATGCACATAGCTCATTTGCCTCCACTCCTTCAAATGTCTATTCAAGTGTTACCTTCTTGGTGTGGTTTTCCCTAATCATCCCATTTTAAATTACAACCCAATCGTCTAGCCCTACATTCCCCATCTGCCTTTCCCACTTTATTTTTGCCCCATAAGACAATTATCTTTTTCTTTTCTCTTTTTTGAGACAGGTCTCTCTTGTCTGAGCTGCAGTGCAGTGGTGTCAGCATAGCTTACTATAACCTCAAACTCTGGCTTAAGCAGTCCTTCTGCCTCAGCCTCCCAAGTACCTGGGACTAGAGATATAAGCTAACATCCCTGGTAAAGAGAGAACCTGATGCTATGCTTTTGTACTTTTTTTTTTATGGCCAAAAGAGCCCCAAATTTATAAAGAGGCTAAGTAGATAAGGACAAAATAAAATTATAGAAAGGAAACAAAAAGGAATAACTGATAAAGCAAGATTCTAGAAGATTGGAAGAATAATACAGGAGTTTGAAGCTATACAGGGTAGTGATTAAGAGGTAAGGTTAGTATGAGTCACACACAAAACTATACAGAAGTCCCAACTCTGTTAGGAACTATGTGACCATGAGCAATTTACTCAATCTCGCTAAGCATCAGTTTCCTAATCTGTAGCACAGGGCTAAAGAAGATTATGAAATACAACCCACATAAAAATTGATAGGCACATTACCTAACACAATAAAAACTCAAAGTTTAGCTAATTTTACCTTTAAAAGAATGACATATATTTTTTCTTTAAATGTAAAATAAATGATTAGGTATTAGGAAAAAGAAAGGAAATGTAAGCTGAATCAGCATATATCTGATGACCCTATTTCTTGGAAAGTAAGGTTATATGAAAAACTAAGGGTTATGCTGAAGCCAAAGAGAAAAAAAATTTCAGAGGTCAATATTCAGGGAGAAATCAGTTCCAAGTAAATGTGAGGTCTAATTAAGAGAATAAATAAATAGAATGCTGAACTATAGAAGGGATTGCTGTGTAAGTAGAATTTAAAAACGGTGAGTCTTGGGTATTACAAAGGTCATTAACATAGATGTCAAAGCTATTCTTTTTTTAAACTATTACTTGATTACAAAGTTTTTTATTTTAATAAGCTACGTGACAAAGTTAATTGTGATTGCTAGATGAGATGGCTCATGCCTATAAACCTAGCACTCTGGGAGGCTGAGGCAAGTGTACTGCTTGAGCTCAGGTGTTCAAGAGCAGCTTAAGTAAGAGGGAGACCCTGTCTCTACTAAAAATAGAAAAACTAGTAGGGCATCATGGCAGGTACCTATAGTTCTAGCTACTTGGGAAGCTGAGGCAAGAGGATCGTTTGAGCCCAGGTCAAGGAAACAAAATGCTATGTTGACACCATGGCACTCTACCCAGGGCAACAAAATTAAAATTATCTCAAAAAAGAAACAAACAAACAAAAAAAAATCTCAACGTCAATCATGATGTATTTATGAACTTGGAGATGTGTGAAGTGATAGATTACAATTTACTTTATTTGCTGAGCAGTCACATTAAAAGTTAAGAATATAAAGATTAAAAGATGAATGCCAAGTTCAATATAAGTGTCTAGTTAAGCTCTGTCCTTCCCTTGTCCCAATCAATAATTTTTTTTTACATATACATGTGTTTATTAGGTTTCCAC